ACGCGGTTATTACAGCTGACAATGATGATGATGATGATGATGATGATAATGATGATGATGACCTACCATTGAAGTCAGCATATTCACGCGTAACAGAGGGTGCCTATGTCCAGCCTACCGACATTTCATACATCACGATTACATTTCACGTAGAAAGTTTGAAAAACGGCTTGATCTTTCGTTCCAGAGACTGACCGATGCTGTCTGTGATATGTGATGGAGCGCACACAATGAGCAGTGAGCAGCCGGTGGTTGAGTGTTCTCAACCGCACATGCTCAAAGACAAAATAAACGAATTCCGTAGGAGGTTAATGCTCTCAAAAAGTACTATTCCGCACAACAGCAGATTAAAGCAGGTAAGATTGATCCTGTACCTTCATAGCTCGTTCCAACCACATACAGGGTGTCTCATAATAGAGTGAGTAAACGTAGCCAATCAAAGGAAGGATGACAAAATCTTTCATCATTAGTAGCCACATAAAGGTTTTGTGTGAGGGTGCTGGAATTTTTACTGTTTACGATGGATGTCAGTAGGCGCATTGAAATTGTGAGATTCTATTATTCCCTTGGTGAAGGCGCCACTGCTGCACTTCGTGGTTACAAAACCAAACACGGTCTCATCAAAGATCCTTTCACCGTGTCGATCATTACATACTTGATTGCGAAATTTGAGTCCACTGGATCTGTATTGGATTTTCCTGGCAAAGGGAGAAAGTCTCTGAGTGATGAAAGAGCGCACATTGTACAGAATGCCGCCGAGCAACTTCAGTCTCAGAGCACCATGGCATCTCCGTCAATAACTCAGGTGTCTCAGTTGACTGGCATTTTCCCACGCCAGCATGCATGGTATTATGAGACGCCACTTTCATCCCAACCCGTATCATTGAACTTTATTAAAAAAACATCACGGAAGAAGACAGGGAGCAACGTGTCACCTTCGCTAACTGGCTGCTGGACAATGAAGAAATCGTTCCCAACATTTTATGGAGCAGACACCCTGTAGTGTAAGGAGTCTGAAGTCAACGTCGCATCCACTTCGTCCTCTACGGCGTAGCTCACCAAATCACAAAGCTCACGAAAGTTCCAACTGTATAACGGAAGGTCGATGGATGTAGGCCTTACTGTAGCTCCACTCAACTAGAATGTTCTTCATTATGATTGAAGTTGATCGTGATAGAGTGGATTCTTTGCAAACCATTGTGCACATCGTCGAAGGTGCCGCACCTTTGTACAAAAGTGAGAAGAAATGTAGGAGAAATGTAGTACATTTTCATTGAGCTCAGATTATAATTTTTTAAATCAGCTGATCTAAAATCTGATTTTGACAATAAAACAAGTAGAAAGGTGAGTCTAATTAGAGCATACATGTGGCTTTTCATGGATCTACCAATATGGAGACGGCTAGAGAGGAACAGATCTAGCCCACCAAATAGTGGCTTCCTGACAGCGACGAGATGATCATGAAGACGAGAAGGATAATGAACACTGCTCATACAGAGAGCATCGAGAACTTGATGTACCGCTAAATGATCAGAAGTTAACCGTTCACTGTTTTTTATCTCTCAGCAACTGTCAGAATAATCACCCGAGCATAATACAGAGGATCTAATGTTTTGGGCTTGCCAGGAAGTTAAACATGCGATCTGCTGGCGAAACTTAGTCGTTCGCAGCTCACCAGGCCAGGATAAGCACAACTCAGCTGTCTCATTTTGAGATACCGTGGCTCTTTTCTGGACAAAAGCGAAGCTGGACAGAGAGACACTACATTCTGAGGGGAATTCTGTCTTCAGATGTGAGATTTGGTCCTGTTAGCTGTTGAATAAGTCAGGAAATCTATTTTCTTCGATAGGAATTTTTCCTCTGCGCAAGGACATTCGATACTGAAAGGTTGGAAAGCACTTTACAGCTGTAGATCATCACTAGTGCGACTTCCACCAACCTTCCGGTTGCTAGTTGACTTTCAAACCGTTCAAACACGTGATGAGGATCAGTTTTTAAGGCCATATTACAACACCGCTCAACCTTTACTCACGGAATTCATATCACCTGCTTACGAGCTCGCTGACTGAGTGAGTTGCGACTTCCCAGATAGAAAGTTCACCCGTCGTGCTGAGCGGCTCCAGTTTGTGTAGACTTGGAAAATGGTCGAAGCGGCTCGCCTGAATGACCATCACGGGGAGCCGAACAACTAGCAGCTATGACTTCGGACTTTTGTCGATTGTTTAAAGACGGGACGTGCAACAGCCCAGAACTGCTGGTCAGGTGATTATCTGTCTGATCTCCGTGCCCCCACTCTCTGAGTGTTAACCAAGAAAGCTCTAGAAGGATGAAGTTTTGCTGCACACTGTCACGTCCTTAAAGTTAACAACGGACAAAGTTCTAAGTCCATCGATTGGTAATTACCAAGTTCCCCTTCTTGTTTGATCACTAATCGAACAGAATTTCTCTCAACCGCTTGCCAATAGCCAGATGAATGTCTGAATCGGTCAGCAGCTAACGGGATGGAAGCCACATCTCAACTAAAATACACCGGCAGTATAGACTGGGTGTTGGATGGATCATAAATGAGGCTGAAGCTATTTACTCGGTACTGACACCCTAAAATTGTGTAACACGAAGGCCAAGGTCACAAATACAACCTGGTAACCGCGCGAGACACAGAGGAAAATTTCCGGGAAGCATGGTGCTCCACGACAGATTTGATCAATTGATTGATTGAACCAGACCCAATTTACGCACCACGATGTGCAAAGAGCCAATATATCTACCGGAATATTCGAGGAGACTCGAATATCAGATTAACAAACGAATAAACAAGAAACACCTTGGAGTCAGGCAACAAAGGTCACAAAACGGAACCCAGAGAGGTCAAGGTCGCAGCATTGACCAAAGTACGATAGTAGGGGAGACCAATCTCAAAGATCAACCAATCATCGATCAATCAGCATACAGGCTAACGGACCGACCAATAGAACCGCCCGATCAACCAACCAATCATGATCGAAGGTTAGCCGTGGCTAGCAGCATGTATACTAACACACAATGCACAGTCACAACCGAATGGTGCACTCCCCTACACTCCGTAACAACGCACAGATGAGTGAACCGCATGCCTGGCCTTGGAGGGGCTGTCATCCTACTCCAGTTATTCTGGTCTCGCTTGGGCACGAAAGTAAGCCTAAGTAAATACTATAAGGAATAAGTTGAGATTTTGTTGGAGGAAGGGGGTTGGGAGGAATAAAACGCCCTGTTATGTTTAGTGTTTCCTTCACAGGTAAAGCGAAACCTCTGTAGGTGTCTGATTTTCATTTTATCAGCTACACAAACTAGTCGACAGATGCAGTAGTATCTCGAGCAAATGATCGCGCATTCGATTCGGCCACTTAAGGATGAAAACGCCAGACTGGTTGAAGATTAAGTTGCTTGAAGTGGCTTCGAACTGAAACACTCTTATAAATAAACGAAAGTGAAAAATTATATTTTTGAGATAATTTTATGTCCAAATACGTGTGGGATAAAATATCCGTGAAACTGGGTAGATCAGTGATGACTTTATTACGTAGTTATGCGCTTTTCTGCGCAGTCGAATACAATTAGATCTTCCTTTGCCTTCGATTTATTACCTTTTCTGAGATATCCTTACCTCAGGGAATTTGATTGTCGATTAATTTCATCAGTGTCACCTGCAATTCTCAGTTTGACACTGAGGCGAGTGAACCGGGTAGGCGTGAAAACCACCCTGGAAATATCGGTTTGTTGGTTGGTTTCTTGATGGAAACTGCCTCGACGAAGAAAGTGAAATCAGAGTCGAACATGTTACTTTCAAGACGACCATGAACAAGATAATACAGAAAGGTATATTTTCGTAAATGAAACTACTCACAAGTTTGCTGAAAACTCTTCGACAGCCCACGACTGAATATCATGAATGAGAGATTCAGCTGAGTCGTGAAAACCAAATTGATTTGCTAATTAGCGTATTTCTTGAAAATAATCCGATTTGGGTTGAAGTAGAACATAAGGTTGACGGAAACTCGGGGGCTGCGCCTACTTGATGAGCCCCAAGAAGGGTGAAACCGGTTGTGGGCTGTAGTTTTCAGCAACATGGTGGGTAGTTTCCCCCTTATGAAAATATACTTCGATATCTCGAAAATCGTCCCAACTGAATCATGAGGTGGCCTGTGTGCAGCACATTCAGTTGTAGAATATCCATAAACGAGGATTCAGTTGAGTATCTCGTGAAAACCAAATTGATTTGCAAATTAGTGTATTTCTTGAAAGAAAGGTAGATTCTTCGTGAGCATTAGGCACATTAAGTTGAAAAACCGTTTACTTAACAAACGATCATCTCTGTCTTTCGAACCTGAAATTTATCGCAGTCTGAAAGTTGAGTAATCTGAAACAATTGCCATAAAACCGTATCTTTGACACAAGTTTTTGAGTGAAAACCGAAGTTTCCTCTCAGAATGTTAAATTTTCTATTCGCACTTTTCTGCCAGACTGAAACGAACTGCTAGATGTACTTTCTCCGAAACAGCACTAACTTTTTCAGCCAACCTAAAATACTCACTTTCTAAAAAAAGAACAGTAAGTATGTGCGATCGCAACAGAATATCTGACTTCATGGTCATCATCATCATCGTCATGGACAGCATGACATCAGTGTTCAACACCGATGTTTCACTGCCGTACAACCATGATTTATCTGAAAACCTTGTTGTCAAGAAAAGAATAAAGGTGGACGGGGAAGGGACTTAGTGCTAGCTTACCACAATCATTCCGAGGTGCCTACATCTTCAGGCACTCATTCAGGCAATCTGGATAGAAACTGACAGCAAGATCGCCACTGCCATCGATTGGCAGCCATATCTTGTAGTGTCTCCAACCAGGCACAGTGAGGATCACGCGGTCCCCATCCTGGAAGGTGAGTAGCACCCAAGCGTTTCGTGATCTCCTTCATACTCCTCTGCCAAGTCAAGGGTTTTCCACCTCTCTGTTTACGCCACTCTGAGTTGGGCATGGAAAACAGCACTCTCCTCGGGCAAACAATGTTCGGCATACGTAGTAAAACAGCATTCAGGACAGATCGTTGTTATTATGTGCCGGAATCAAACAAGGTTTTGCAGAATCCGATATTACTTACTATGCATATTAAGTAGATCGAATTAGTTCTCACTCAGTACCAAATGTTCGCACGACGGCCAATATCAGGAAGGTCAGATACCTGAGAGCAATTCTAGAACGCCCGGAACCTACTGAGACACCAGAACGCCACCACAATCTCAGAAGAAAAGCCGGATAGGATCCAGGCTAATCAAGCATCCAATCAGTTCAGTAACAGCGCGGATCGATGAAAGTATATTTCAAATAGCGCAAGCTCCCTTGTAAGTGTTGCACTCGCTTGTTCACAATAAACCTGTTGTGTTCCTTATCGGTGAGTCTTTTTCCGACACTAAGCATAGGAGTGGGAGCAGCACTCAGATATAACGGTCAGCAAACTTTTATCTCGTTAACACCTTTCAAATGAGTGAGTAGTGGGCTGTTGAAGATTTTTCGGCAAGCTTATGAGTAGTATGTCCCAACAAACAGCCTATAGTCTCGCCTTCAAAGTTCCTCAACATTTTGAAAGACTTCATCGGCTGCCAATATTGTTTAAGTAATAGTTGGCTTAAAAATAGTGATTTGGCAAACTACCAAGCACCATGGAGTTTGCAGACCACTCAGTATTGGAGGTAAACGCTTTAAATTTAAACGTGAACATCAGGCAATATTTATCTATCAGGGCGAAGCTCTAGCAGATTGCTCCTTCAGGAAATCGGCTTGTGAAAGCTCCAGGCTCGAGGTCTGGGTCTTCTCGAGTGCCATCAAAGTGAGGAACGGTGGTGACTTTTTGACAGTAGCCAGATTCCAGGTGAATTTTAATGCACCTTACAAATATCTGGGATGGAACACCTGAACTTTTCGGCGGCCCTTCATAAACTCAGTTATACTAGTCAATTTCAGAAAAAATATGTGTTGACAGAACTCGACGGAAGCAGACATTACATCCAGCTGATCAGGAACCTTTTTGGTTGATTGTGCAACAACTGGTCGCCAGAAAAAGTCTGCTGTTTTTAGAACATAATGTGTTAAGTCAAGTCACTGCATGTCAAATACGTTTCGTTTACCTGAAAATGTGTAATTTCAGCGTGCAAATATACAAAAAAAGATAAAATAATCATATACACGCTAAATGACACTAAAATATTCATCAGCAAACACTGCGGCATTCTTATGGAATTGAATTGAGAACTAATCAATTAAGAGTTAACAAAATTTCAATAAATAAACAGGATTGGAAGTGACGGGTTGGTGATACCTCAACGTCAAAAAATTCAGCGCTGTTGTGGAATGTAGGTAGCTCGGGTGCGTTGATTCGTTGTTGGTCTGTTCGCCGTGCTTGGCAGTTGGATTGCAAACGTTTCATCACCATTCGAGGTGACATCGTCAGTGCAGGGTTGAGTGGGTGAATTCCTCCTCTTCTACCTGCGGTTATATAGCTTCTAAGCAGTACCTGGTAGTTCTGGCTGGTTCGTTGAGTGCATTCAATTCGGCAGTTCTCTATGAGATTGAGACCACGTCAGATTCACAGGAGACCAATAAAAGTACACGACGACCGTTTCCAGAACTACCAGGTACTGTTTAGAAGCTATATAATCACAGGTAGAAGAACAGGGATTCACCCACTCAACCCTGGACTGACCATGTCACCTCGATTGGTGATGAAACGTTTTCAATCCAACTGCGAACAGACCAACAATCAAAAAGAATTCATCCGGTGAGGTTGGGGCAATCATTCAGATGCTTGACTGCCAGGAAGTCAGTTTAGTCAATCTTTGATATTCGACTGAACCCAGAGAAGTGTCCGAGGATCTTCGCAGTGACACACCAACCGCAAAGAGGATAGGAGAACAACGAATCCACTAGGGGTGAGGGGCTACAAGCAGTGTGAAATCTATGAATAAGTGTGATAAAAGCAGAAAACGCCTTCTAGCGGAAAAAGCTAAAGACAATCTGGATGCAAGGCAAACGGGGTTAGATGACGGATTCGCAACCGGATGTCTCGCTGTAGAAAACCTGGAGAGAAGGTTAAATACAGCAAAGGAGTGGTAAATGCTGAGTAGGTGACTGTAGGACTGACCGGGAACAAGAGAAGAAACTACGTAATGTCATTTTGGGACACCGGGTTCAACCACGGTTTAAATCTACCAGCCAACAACTTCACACAGTAGAGCTTTTGGCCTCAGGCTTATTTCAGACATGTGAGAGCAACCGTCTGTCATCACCACGATTGTAGGTTTGTTTGTGAAACAAATATGTTGTTCCTAATTTGCAAAAAGTTTACGGATATCATAACCAGCTACAACAGAGTCATACCCATCCAGTAACCGGCTCACCAATATTCAACACTCCGTACTTCGCTGTTTTCATCTCTAGAAAGAGCTTAACGAGAAGGTGGGCGATTTTTCCCGATCACTAAGACAGAATATCGCGTCAGCGAAAGGCTCCAGAAAGCACGAAATTAGTATTAGGCGCCAAACGAACCCAACAACTTCAGATGCGGACCAGTCAATCTGTGAGAAGCAACAAGTCGTTATCAGTCAGCTTGAGCAACATTTGCTTCGTAGGCAGACATGTGTAGACTCATTTTACAATCAATACTTTTGTTGGACAAGTTAACCTAACCATGAAGTGTTATGTGTGCCGGAAAGCATATATGTATACACATATGTATATATCTTGGAACCACTCAGATAGGTCTTCGTATCCTCAATATGTGTATACTTTACTAACGAACATTTCCGTATCATCCCCTCCCCAAAGTTGATCGATGTCTTCATCTACAGACGGTTTTTCTATTCCCCATGGCCAAAACTACTAGCCGAATGTGCGACTTTTTTCTCATTTGGGATGTCATCCACTTTTATATCAACGCGACTGTCAGAGTACGGTCCGAGGTATGTCTTTCAATGTCTGACTGGAAAACTTGTTTGTGCGAAAATAGACAGACAATCGTATGTAAAAAGACATTACATACGACACACGACATCGATCACTACCTGGTGAACAAACACACCGAATTGGTCGGAAGTGCGATAAATCTTTTGTTTTATCAGAAATGTGGTGACTATTACGGAATTGGTGGTTTCAAAGGAAGAATACTTGTGAATCGATATTTTCATCTCGAATTCCCCCGTTCACTCGAAATGTTGTCGGATATCCTGTCTCCATACAATATGTTCACGTTTTCCGACTGAACAAATTGCACAGTGAGCTAGTAAGTTTGGTCGTTTCGCTCACGGTATTGAAGGTATGAGATCCTGGTTATTGGTGCAGTTTGTATTTGTGGTGTTTTGGCAACAGATGGATTACGGGCAGTTATGTCCTGCAATACAGTGATTCAATATACTGAGACCTTCGGGGTCAGACACATTGACACTCTGGATAGGTCTTCGCAACTAGGATTCCTGGAACATGAACTTTTTGAGGGCAGAGAGAAGGAAAACGTGTTTTGGATGATAAAAGACCGACATATTCTGCCAGTCATCAAGACCATAACCGGGTGCAAAACATCAGTGTTCAATACACGTTTCGCTGTTAGAAAACCGTAATTTATTGGTTTGAAATGAATAATAAATAATAGAACCGGTCTACCACAATCATTCCAGACGGCAACGACATCGTTTAGCAGTCATATCTGGAAGTGATTGCAGTCAGGTACTGGAAGATAACCCTCACCTCATCCTGGAAATTGAGTCATACCAGAGTCATATCCAGATGTTTCGTAACCACCTTCCTACTGCTCTGTAAAATCAAAGGTTGGCCACACCAATCTGAATTGGACACGGAAATAGCACAGTCTCCGGGAAGCGATGATTCGTCATGCGCACTGCATGATCCAAGCAACGCATCTTTCGGTGTTGGACACAGTCCTCGATTATAGTCCCCTTGCCATCACCGAACACTCGTGTTCGAATTGCTTCGTTGCGGATTCACCGACACTAGCCAACACGAGGTATGGTTCTGAGGTAATGGTCACCACACCTGAAGAAGCCTTACTTTCAGCGAATATACACTCATTTGCCAACCAATTTGGTTTTTCGAGAGACTCACCTGGAACCCAGCTGAATCTCTCGTTTGTGATGTTTCCAGGCAACTAAATGTGATGCACCAGGCCACCCCAGGTTTAACTCGCTACGATATTCGAGATATCGCGATACATTTACATCTTTGTAATGTACTACTCATAAGGTTGCTGAAAATCCGTCGACAGCCCCCGATCGGTTTTGCCCTTTTTGGGGCTCGTCGGGGCCCTGAGAATATCACAAACGAGAGATTCAGCTGGGTTCCGGGTGAGTCTCTCGCAAAACCAAATTAGTTGGGAGGGCGAACCGGTCATGGGCTTTCGACGGATTTTCAGCAACCTTATAAGTCTCACTTTCGAGTCTCACTTTCGTTGCTCACAGAGGCCATATCTCAAAACCATACAATAAAACAGCCCGTGCTGTAGCCTCCCATACGCGTCCCTTGGGATTCAGCGATTTCCCACTTTGCTGGCTCACGTGAGCGCTGTGGGTTGACTGGATATGTGACTCAGTTGTTTTGCTTACCTGCCACGAAAGCGGACCAGTTGTCCGCGTGCACCCAATACACCCGTGTCCGTACTTACGTGTTCTTCTGAGTTACTGTGAATTACAACAGATCCTTAGATAGCTTTGAATTGAACTCGTGTATAACACTACTATAGGAATTGACACATCTTCCAAGATACGTTTCGCAGCTTCGAAGGCAAACCGTCACACCAAGGTAATGTCCCGTCACCTCGTGATGGAGTTCGGTCTCTTCGTCAGTCTCCAGTCTCTTCTTCTTCAGGTGTTCGATAATCGTTGTCTCAGAATCATAGCACGTGTGGGTCGGTGTCGGCGAATCCGTACCGAGGCAAATATAAAGCGGGTTCACGGGTGTCAACGCGTACTTCCAGTGAAAAATATATCCAGCACCAGAAGCTGCGCTAGTTGGGGCACGTGTTACGTATGCCGAACCGGTTGTCGAAAAGGGTACTGTTTTCCATGCCCAACTCAGAGTGGTGGAAGCAGAGAGGTGGCCAACCCTTGACCTAATAGACGGGCATAAAAGAAACGTCGTGCTGTCGGTGCTACTCGCCTTGCGCGTGATCCCCACTGTTCCTGGTTGGAGACACCACAAGATGTGGCTACCAACCGGTGTCAGTGGCGTTCTTGCTGTCACTTTCTATCCAGAATACCTGAATGAGCGCCTGAAGATGTAGGCACCTCGGAATGATTGTGGTAAGCTAGCACTAAGACCATTCCATGTTAAACTTTATCCTTTTCCTCAAAATAAGTACGGTAGCGAAGCATCGGTGTTGAACACCGATGTCATGATGTCAAGGACGATGCAGATGCGAGTTTGGTTAGTTCATAAACTTTCAGGCTACTTGCGTTGCACAAAATGCTCCAAGAAACTATGTGTTCCCCGGAATTTCTCGAATTTGATACCCTAATGTTTAAATTTTTTTATTGTATAGCAACATTCCTTCGAAGTTGAATTAAGATGGAGTTAAATTAACTTTACGCCAATAGTGCGTCCAAAAAAGCGAAATAGCATTGGGTGCACTCTGAAGGACTAAGAAACATTCACGTGACCAATTAGTACAGTGATCGTTATCACTGATAACTGAAGGACATTCCTTAGGAGTAACACACTAATCATAAGGTTGCTGATAATTCTTCCACAGCCCACAACCAGTTTTGCCCGTCTTGGGGCTTATCATGTAGGCGCAGTCCCCGAGCTTCCGTTAACCTTGTGTTTTCTTAAACCCAAACTGCACGAAATTGACGGAATACATTTATTCTTGGGGCATACAACACATGCCATTATTGATACCCTTTAAAGTAGCGGTCATGTGATCATGGAATTGGCTTCACAAATATCGATCAGCCGCCCGGCGAAAACGGAGCGCGTACGGTAGATAGGAGTACTCAGTTGCCATTCTGAAAGGAACCAGACATCACATTTGAAAACTCGTTTCTCTCGATTTCACAAAACTCGCTGCGATCCATGATACCTCAGAATGATGATGCGGCAATACACGCACACAGCGAGCTCACCAAAATGTGTTCATTACAAACATCCATGGACCCGCCTAGAGTCCGGATTTAAATCTGAGCGGCAAAGTCCGCGGTTGTACTAGTGTAGCGCGCGATCAAAACTCAGACCAACTGTGCATTGTAATACATTATACGCAAGCAACGTGTTTCCCGTTACAGTAGACATGGTCACTTTGTCGTTGGGAACACTGCCAACTGGAGGACAGCCCGAATAGTTCGGATTGACTACGTCTAGTTCTCTGTGTCAGTCACTGTACTGAAGTTTGCTCTTGATGTCTCACTTGCTGTTCTCAATAAAGTCTGGGCTTCTGGAACGCTCCGATGATTCCCCAGTGTGGCTTCAGATGGGTAGGATTGAACGTGACACACACTAGAATCGTGGAATATAACTATTAATTCGTCACAAGGTGGAAGAATCATGACCTATCTTGATAAGTCGAAGTGACCACATGTCGCCAGGGTGCCCGTGCATTTGGTCCGTCGAACATTAGATTCATCATGGCGCTTAACGTTCAGCTGAGGATTGTGAGCGACTGAAAGTCAAAGGGGACGGTTTCTCAACCTTTGCTGACGATGACATACTGACTGCACCAATCGTCCAGTTTAACTCTGGGAACCAGTTTCATACCATCATTGAGAATCCAGCTCAACATTTGTCGGGGATTGCGTCAACTGGCAATGCCACTATATACAGCTGATGAGTAGCGAAATTGAGGGGTATTAGGAGAGTCCTAGAGGGTTTTTCTGGCTGGTGTATTAAGAAGCCGGTGAACTCATCTGGCTAAACGGCTTGCCCGGACCGCAGTTAATTTGCCATACGGGTAATGTTGGGTTTTTTGGTTGACCCAGTCTATTCTGAGAGCGGAATATGTAATAATAACCTCGTAGAATCACAGTATCAAACCTCCAACATATTGGAAGCTCATTTCAGTGGCCAGACAGGTCAGACCATGGGAACCTTTGTGACACTGGACAACTTCAGTGATATCGTTGGATAAGATGCCCATTCTAAAGCTATGCACAGAATTCTCCCACTGTGTTTCAGGGGTGATCACTTGCGGAAATTTAGGTATAGTGGCTTGCATACGTATCAGCAGACGCTAAATCCCGACAAAACGAGAGACATTAGACTGAGAGTAATGGCGAACAAAAACTTTCCTGTGAACGCTCATCACATGGCCAACAATTAAAAGGGTACATTTAAAGTATCAATTCACCATCAACTCTACTTTAACAGACCTACTGAGGGTCTGTCACTTTCAGGTATAAATGGTCAACTTATATAGAGATCTCATCAATATAACTGGCTCCAGGCAGGTGAAATACATCACACAGAGGAAACAAAAGAGAAGTTCTGCTGTCCGACGAAATTGGCGAGAACGTATTTCAATGTCAGTGTCAGTTAGTTTGACGAATGAACACTCCACCGCACCAATTAAAGGTGAAAGTCTTTGTCAAACAAACACGACATTTGCCAAGTTTAATGGTCACCCAAGACCACATGAACCAACCAGGCTTGGAATGACTTCCAGACAAGTGCCGCTCCTGCAAAGTGAAGCATATTTCCTTGCCCACATATTTTCTGGAGGGGTATTTAAACAAAAAAACTCACATGCAGCCCGTTGTGCGGGAATTTAACAAACCTCGAAGATTTATGGAACTAACATCAGGTTAAAGCAGTATTCCTACAGGCTTTTGCTGTATGTGCCGCTCTGTTTGGCCATCTATTGCGTAAGAATGGACCGGGAGGTGATTGGTTACTTTTGGAGGTCTACTTTCGTCAGCTTACATCTACTCCACTCAAGAACGCATGTTAGAATCTCACTTTGAAAGAGGAAACCAGTGATTTGGTCCTATCAGAAACACCCTCTCAGAGGAACACTTATGGGACAGGACGTTTCAATATCTGCGCCATCTACGGCCCCAAAAACCATTGCACGCCTGGAATAAAACTGATAGTTTTACTCAGATTCTTGCAAAAATACCATCAGCATCTTAACAGACTTCTCAGTTTTGTGCGAAACGTCTTTCAGCTGTTCTTATGGGTGCGAGATTATAAAGATTCTGAGGTTCAAAACTTGGTACTTTCCTGTCAACCACATGTAATCATGATAACTATCATCCAGTCACTTCCCAATGCAGATCGATACACAATTCAAATTTGATCAACATTGTGGAGCGGCTCGAGCGAACGACCCATCAGATTGCAGAATGACAAACAGAAGTTGAGTAGTGAAGAAATGGCTAGTGACAGTATAGAGGCTAAGTGCTTGTGTGCTATGTAAGACCAACCCAATTTACTGCCGGTATGAATCAACCATGGTGTCGCGAGTCAAGGTACATTACAAAGTTCTCATACTGAACTTAGTTGTGTGTGGCTCAAAATGTTAGAGTGTGCTGTACGGAGACGATTCTTGTGGTTACATCCCCTTGACTTCTGTCAGAATTGTATACTTTCTGGTAGTTACAAGAATCCTGGAATGAGTCTGCCAGAAGCAAATCAGTGGACGATGGTGTGATTTCCTAGCGAGCTGGAATAGACGCTGTGGAGTCGGTGACCAAGATAGTGGGAACCTAAACACGCTCAAATCTTGGTGTATCACTTTAAAAAAACCATACACATTATTATTGTTGAAACAGTTAGATGCTTCTGCGATGGCACAGGCCGTTTTGATTCCCGTGTCAGTTACAGTCTTGCATGGAAGCCATGTTCTACGCGACAGTTGTGCCGGTCATTAGGAGTCGATGAGACATGAATGAATGTTCATCTTTCATGAGGTGATTACAGAATGTATTGAACATCTGTTTGTCCCTCGAAAGCTTTCACCGATGAAAGGAAGATTTGGGCAACAAGCTAAGTCGACCACTCTTGACTTATCGCTCATCTCTTCGTGACTCCACATGATAGACTCTGGGGCTGAGGGGGAGATTAGCCTGCCCTTCAAACTTCCTAGGGGACAACAAATACATGAAAAAGTGACAAGAACGCAGTAATTCATCTCGATATGACCAAAAAACATCAGAAGGAATACTGGGGAAACAAGGTCTATAGGACGCCTCTCGAGTTCATCGATCGGGTATGGATTTAAGCGTTGTTAAATTGGAGAGGGAACGGAGAGCATTAATTGCTTGGAACGTATTCTCAGGGAGAGGATCTGTTCGTTCAGAATGACCCTTAGATATAAGTACATTTTGGAGTTATTATTCGCAAATGACTTCGTTGTTCAAATATATTTCGATCGACAAATCACAGATAGGCTTTTGCACACCTTCAAAGCACTGAAATAATTGAGATATACAGGATTAGAAAAAATCGAGTTAACTCAGAACTACATCTGCGCATTTCCAAAATTAGTCATAACTGTTAAGTGTTGTTTCATTTTTTTTGCCCTTCCTACCAGCGTGTTTCTTTTGGAATTTCGCATATGAGTTGTTCTCACTGGGCGCTACTGCTCACCCAGAGGCCTGTCAACCTACTTGAGTGTTTGAATGTCCGAAAAATTCCAGCGGCAGCGCTTCGTGCACCAAATATGAAGTGACAAGTGTTCAGCAAACAAGAAAGAATAAATGCAAACATTTGCACTCGAAGCCTGTTTTGTCCAATCTTCATAGTCCACAGAAGATTTTTCCAGTGTTGGAAGTTGTCGGACGATGTGTGCTTCATTTCAGTTTATCCACACTTTTGCTGCAACCGGCGACATCTTATGGACTGAATAAGGGCAGCTCGGAGCTGAGCAGTGTTCAACTCGGGCTATTTTTTCACATTTTATGAAGCCAGAGTGAGCGCAACTCACCAGTTGCGAGTTATTCTCAGTACTGGCGAAAACAGCTTATTTGTTTAGAAAACGAACAAATCGAGAAGCTGAGTGAAAGGGGAGATTAATCGATCGGATCGGACGGTGCACGGTCGGGTCTACGGTCTCATTATTAACCTAGCATGTTCTCAATCTGGTTTAAGTGTATCTGCAGTTTTACTCAAAAGTGTTTGTTGTAAGTGATTTCGTCGCTTCACTGTACTAAATAATCGGTGTGTTTATCTGACGTGTTACCCCAACGACTGACTGTAATCTCCCACTCAGTGTAACGCATACTGCTCCCCGGGGGTCCATGTCGCGTGCTTCTAAACGAGGAATATTTAGCCCGCAGACTACTGGTCGGCTGAATGTGTGAGCTGAGTGAGGCCTGCGAATTTGATTGTT